GTAGGAGCGGTACTTTCGCAAAATCAGCAGCCCGTGGCATTTTTTAGCCGAACTTTAAATCAAACACAAAGAAACTATTCCGCGACCGAGAGAGAGGCACTTGCAGTTCTGTTAGCAGTGCAAAAGTTCCGAGTCTATTTTGGAAAGGCGCCAATAACAGTGTACTTCTGATCATGCGGCGGTAACTAGATTGTACTCAGGGAAAAACTTATCCCCAAGGTTAATAAGATGGGCACTCAAGCTACAAGAATATAATCTGGTAATCAAGCATACCCCCGGAAAGGAAAATATCGTAGCAGATGCCCTATCCAGAATTAAAATAGATGAAGAAGGTAATACCGTAAAGGTGGCAATGCTCACAGCATGTACAATAAATTCCCGAGAAACTGTAATAACCGAACTGGGTAAGGATCCTGAGTTTGGAAGCATTTATGAGTATTTAAAGGATCCTGAAAATTTTAGCCACCAAGATATTGTGGCGATAAGAAATAGGGCGGCCCATTACGAACTAATAGATGGTCTATTATTTTATACAAAAACTACGAATTCCAACAACGAATTTCGACCTGTTATCCCAGCTAGTCTTAGATTAAATATCCTGCAGGAGCTCCATGACAGCCCTTTAGCTTCTCATGCTGGTATTCGAAAAACTATCCAACGCGTACGCGAGGCAGTCTATTTTCCTGAACTGCAAAAGTTAACAAGGGCGTATGTCCAGTCCTGCCCAACATGTCAAGCAGTTAATTATATTAATTTCCGCCCGGCCGGGTTTCTAAATAGTATTAAATCCGAATTTCCAAATGAAATAATTGGCATCGATTTATTGGGCCCTTTCCCAAAAAGTCAGTTAAATAAAAGTCGCTATCTCCTTGTTATGGTTGATCATTTTAGTAAGTGGACCGAAATTGTTCCCTTAAAACGAGCCTCCGCGAAATTAGTTACTGATTCTATTTTAAATAAATATATTTTAAAATACGGGGCGCCCCTAAAAGTTATATCGGATAATGGTCCTCAATTTGTAAGTAATATATTTGAAGACATGTGCCAAAAACTGGGCATACGTCATTTAAAAATGGTCCCGTATCGGCCGCAATCAAATATAGCGGAACGGGTCAATAGAAATATAGTGAAAATTATCCGTAGTTATGTTAAAAATTTTCATAAAAGCTGGGATAACTATGTCAATGAATTTGCTTTCGCCCTTAGGACCGCAAAACATGATACAACGGGCAAAACTCCTGCTGAGTTATTTTTAGGCAGAAAGATTATAACGCCGTTAGATAAATTATTTTATGTGCAACAAAGAGCCCCAGAATTTAAAATGGGTGATATAGAAAAACTAATTAAAGAAGCAAAAAAAGAATACGAAGTAGCACAGAGAAAACAGAAAGCTTTATTATGACTTGAAACGACGGGGAGTAACTTATAAAGTAGGGGATGAAGTTTTAAAAATTAAGCATTCACTTTCTTCAGCACCAGAAGATAAAACTGCCAAATTTTTTCCACGATTTGAAGGACCATATGTCATAGAAAAAATAACTCACGCTGTAGTAGTGTTAAAAGCCAGAAATGGTGAAACCTGCTCCGCAAACATTGATCAAATCAAAACCCTACTATGATCGTAATAAAATGCAAATATTTTCAGATCTTTTGCAGGATCCGGCACGGCAGACACCGCAGGCACAAGCTCCAGAGGTGGAACAACAAGGGCAAGCCATTAAGAGGCAGGAGCAAGTGAAAAGAAAGTTTCCCCGCGGAAAATTGAAGGTAACAAGAAAAAAGAAGCCGTTCCACCGTCCAGAAAAGAGAGCTTCACGAACACCCCCAGAATGAAGAAGGGAGAAGGACGACGTATGCAAAGAGAGCCAGGAGAAATGACGGCAACTATAACCCGGCTCTAAAAACGGAAGATCTACTCATCCGACAGGACTCTCCGCAGCAAATGTCGCCGAACTGCGGAAGGGCCATCAGCGGCGGAGGAAAAAGTACAAGAAAAATTTGAACGGCCAGCAACGAGGTCCAAGCAGGAACACGAAAGAAGTTTCCCGGTTCCGCCAAGACCAGCTGCCATCAAACGGCCAAGACCACAGGCAGAGGCGAAAAAGAAGGTATTCAAGGGTGACCGAACTGGAAAAAAAAGAAAGCTTCTAGAGGAAGGGACTGAAAGGCGAGCCCGCACAAGAAGGAGGATAAATCAAACAAACTATCTGCGCTACCTTTCCAGGACTGGGCCAGAAAAAGGAATGTCCGAATATCACAAAGATAAGTAAAATTTTATGTTACTTTGCAAACTTAAGTTAATCTTTCATTCTTACTGCAAGTGGCAGATTTCAAGAAGTTTTACCTCATGCGAGGTCTACCTTTATCGCCAAAAGGGCGAGAAATGAGTTGTTACCGATTTTGGTATTATGTTTTTCAATTACTCGCGCGTAAAACTAAAGTTGATGTATAATAGCGAATGTGTAAAGACTTAAATATTGTAAAAATTATTGTATAAATTTTATTTTGGCACTTGCTTTGAAAAGAATAGAAGTTAACAATGTACTACTAATGTATGTTGTCAAATGCGTAAAATTAACGGCATGTTAATATGTTCTTATATACAATGTGAACTGTTATTTCAAATGTTAAGAAATACCGTGATATGGTAAAAGTGAAAGTAATGTTAAAAATTTTTTTATTCGTGTGACTGTAAAAAGACTAAATCATGGTGAATTTGTGTTAAAGGTTGAATGAATGTAGTTAGGCTCTCTGACGCTACACTTCAGAGTTAGCCACTTTCAGAATAGTACCTCAGGGTTTAGAGTTGAAATTAGGGTGTGTTACGAGGTCTTGTATGTTGAATTTTAACACGTTAGTGTTTTGTTTGTAGGAGGAAGTGTGGAACACGTAGACAGAAACACATTCGTGTTTGGTGTTCTTTTACAACACATGTCAGAGAGCACGGGGAGAGATAATTAAAATAGTCATGAATGAAATAAGAATGTTAAGAGAAATATAATTATATATGTTACTTGCCATTTCATTGTGTAACATTTCATTAAACTAGTTTTCCTTCCAGATCTCTGGAAGGAACCAGATTTGAATAAAAGCTCCTGTTTAGATGCAGTACAGATGAAAAAATTGTGTGTCCTGGGAGCTGCTATTGTAAAACAAATTTTTTTTAAATTTCTAGTTTCTAAATCTAGAGAAATGTTTGTAAAAGATTGGCCTCGCGTTAGATTCTAGAGCTAAAAGTTTTCAACAAGGTCGTTTTAGACCTCAGTTTCAAACTAATTAACTCTGGCGGGAAGTATGTAAGGATCTTAAGTTTTACTAACGTTTATTTTATTTTAAATCTTTACTATCACTTCTTATTTTCTACTTCCGGCCAGAATTAAAAGCGTTAACTTATTTATGCAAAATTTGTCTGGCGAACGCCAAGTACTTAAGTTGTGGCTTTTTGCCAAGCGAGAGAGAGGAAGGAGTTAGTCGAAGCAGGCCGCTTACCTTAGAAGTTTTACTCAGTTGCTGGTTGCCTTCCAGGCCAGAGGTTTTAATCCTCTTGATAAATTTTAAACGTATTGTAGTGTTCACAGTTCTCTGTACTACATACGGCTTCCTGTTAATATAAGGCCAATCTTCCACGTTTATTATTTTAAAGTTAAATTAGAGTTTAGTTTTATTTTTTATATTTTTTACGTTTAGACCACAAGTAGTGGATCTTTGTATTCCGAAGTACGGAAGTTATTGTAAATAGAGAAAAATAAAGGGTTTTGTATACCCTTCTTGTGTATCCTGTCTACTTCCCACAGTTATTGAACATAGCTTTAGTAAGCTCTCTGTTCCGAGTCAGGTCCTTGCATGTTCCCGAAGAAAGTAAGACGGAACATTGAACCTGATAAGTTTTAATTTGTAAGATTGTTCAAGTAAATTTGATTAATATATACTAATTTAAAACTTCTACAAGTGAATTATGCCCTGAAAATAAATATTTACAAATTATATTACTAAGGTTATCGAATAAGTTATTTTTAATTCAAATAGCACTAAATGTAATTCTTTGGCCCATTAATATAATTTACAAAATCTATTTTTTTTTTGTATATGGAAAGAAATTTCTGTTAAATTTCTTCTTATCAACACACTTAGCTTAGCACCATTGTTGGCTGAAGTCTGTAATTGCCACCTAGTCAGTATGAAAAGTTACCATGCTGTTTAGCATTCAGCTACTAATGTTTTAAAAAATGTATTTTAGACATCATTGCATGAAAGTTGATAGTGACATGGTGATGGAAGCAAAAAATAATTTAAAAAATTATTACGAGATTGGCTTCAAAGATGCTAGTTATTCAGTAGGGTTAAAATCGGAGAAGCCAAGCAAACAGGTCTTGTTAATTAAAATATGTCTACTGCACACATATCAAACATTAAGCATATACTAAAGCAAGATGCTACTTTTGGAATCTTTCTCCTTTTTGCAAAATAATTTCTTAAAAAAATTGCTGGTTAAGAAATTGGTCAGGATCACGAAAAAAAATTGGTGGTCAGGATGCCCGGATATTAGATTATTCCAGATTTTGGACTTACTGTATATAATATTATTTACAGTAGAGCTAATGACTTCTTTAGTCCTATCAAATAATGATCTATTGCAACATCCAACGACACTTGTATAAACAATCTGGAGAGATGAAAGGATTTTTTTTTAATGCTGAACTTGAGATTTGAGTAGTATATGCAGTAATTGCTAGACTTATAATTTAACATTAAAACTTATCCACATAATACATTGCTACTCAGTGAAAAAGGAAGATACCCATTTCTTTTGACAATTTACCTTGTAGAGAAGCCTTTAGTATTTGATTTATTTCTATATCATAAAATGCTGGTGCTAATCCATGGAATAATATAACCTGAAGTAATTTATATACTCTATGTAGTAAATACTTAGAAAGACAGAAACTTATACATAGATGTGTATATATGAATTGTCTTGATTATTGAAATTTGTCTTCTAGCTCTTTGTGCCCATGGCATGCTAAACGTGCCCTGCAGAAAACTAAATTTCTCTGTAGTAAAAAGAAAACTCGTGAAGGAACTGCTTCTTCTTTGCTTCGAGACTTAGAGCATTATTGTTCTAATTCAAAGCATGACCCAAAGTACAGCCGTGATGTAGGACTGAATGAAAAATACGACAATTCAAGTCCTATTACAAGTGATGCTATGGAGGGATCCTTGGGTAAGGTTTTTCCTTTTAAATTTTATGAAGTACATTTTGTATAAGTTAACATAAAAGTATAGAGTAGTCTTTAGTATTTGGTTAATTTCCTTCAAGCAGATATATATATCAAAATACCTAATAAGAAACTTTGGTCTTAATTTTCTTAAAAAGTTAAAGTAAAATTGAATTTTCTTAAATTTTATTACAATTGCAAAATATTTTGTACCAGTTCCTTGGAAATTTTAGCTGATTTCACTAGTTGGCGTACTGAAACTTTGTGGTTCATAATGCAATCACGAGGTAATACAGTAAAACTCGGTCTATCTGATATTCACCTAACTGGATAACTGAAGTAACCAGAATATTTTAGAATTTTAGAAAAAAGCTTTTCTCAAAACATTTAGTACATGAAAGATCTATAATACCATTATAGCCTTAAACCATTAATAATATGTTTTCATTGTTGCCAGACAGTGTGATTTAGCACTGATAATGGATAAGAGGATATCCCAACACAATCATTTTGGTTAAAATGTAAACTCGATTAATTCTCAAAAAGCCAGTTTAATTTTTGTAAAAAAATAACATATTTTTTTCCTAAATTTTGAAAAAATGATTCATATTTCAGACTGCATGAAATGGAATATTTTCAAATTGACAGGATCCAGATGTCAGAAAAAGCCACAATGTGCAACTTTGAAAATGGATAAACAATGGAAAACTGAAACTGGAAAATTATGATATGTGATTTAAGTTTTTTCATATGCTACATCAGTAATTTTTATCTCTGTATTATCTATTTAAATAGTTCTGTTCATTTAAACTTCTACTGAAATGACTGGCGATATCTTTGCAAACTTTCATTTGTGGTAGGATTTCCTAAAAATAAAAATACATTGCCTTTTACAAATTTTTTTTTCCCTTTTAAAAATTTTATGTAATTTTAATTGTAGGCTTTTATTTTATTATTCAAGTCGGTAACAAATAAGATGACTATTTTGAATTTTAGAGCAGAAATTTTTCCCATTGGTTCGACTTTTCTAACATGGCTTTCTTCTATTGTTTTTGTATAAGCTCATTTGTCCAGAAGTTTTCATTTCATAAGCTTTTTGAGTAGACCAGCTTTTAATGTATTAACATCCAAGTGCGACTGCAATTGCAAACTTTTTTTTTTTTTCTGTTTTTTATGAATGATTCTGTTTTATTTCTTTAAAACTAATATTTCCAGATTTTGGAATTGGCACTGTCTCCCTGTAAGCCAAATGATTAAGACCACTGAATACTGATAGTTAATGCTTTTTTTTTTTTGAACCCAAATGAATGGGGTGGTTGCATGCTTAGTTTTTCCCTTATGAATTTTGAATATGAGCTGATTTCCCTTAGAAAGTCCTCTACAAAGACATCTTTTACCCTAAGCAGATAGCCTTCATATTCTTTTGCCATGTTCTAATTATCTAACCTAACATTTGAATTAACAATTGACTGGCCAGCGCTCAAGTGAGAATTTCCATTTGTGGCTGACAAAAGTATCACAACTGCCATATTTGCCTTAAATGCCATCTGCTTATACGTCTGGGAGGGAAAGGCATTTTAAGTGATAATTTAGCCAATGATTAATCATGTTGTCTTTTCATGTCATACTTGGGCAATTAGATTTAAGAGTTTGAAAAATAATTTCCGACTGTGCAATAGATTTTCACTTGAGATTCTTTTGTAGATGTTTTATATTTTTCATAGTTTTGTTCCTAATGGACTGAACTTTCAACCATATGAGTAAGCATATCATCACGTGTAAATGTATTTGCTCTGTCAATAATACTGTCTGATGATTTAGGCATAACTTTCTCCTGTATATTTGCTACATTGGGTGCAGCATTGATATTTGACCAAGAGTGGAAATTTATTGCATCTTCATCATGACTGATTCATAGGGAAGTTGTAGTATTCATGATTGATTCCTTTTTTTTCTATCTAAATGCATATTGTTTTGTCATTGCTAACATTTGAATTGTATAATTTAGCATCACTAACTAGCAATTTAACTGCAAACATTTCTTCAATATTTTATTTCATTTAATCTAGGTTTGACATTTTTAAGGATAAATTTTGACATTTTTCCAGCTATGCATTGACATAAATCTGAGATACTGAGCAGCGGACCCACTCTAAACAGCTGACAATTTCTCCAAGTGCACGCTGTTCGTATGTTAGATATCTTCTTGCTTGTAGTTTTTTTGTTTAGGTTGCATGTAGGTCTGATATTTTCTTAAAAAAAAAAGATACTGACAAAGCAAACAGTAGTGAGCCAAATTCTAATTCATTTTATTTCAAAACTAAAATTTCTAATATACATTTGCCATATTTTATAAATTTGTTATATCATTTTTAAGTATTTACCTTCTGAGATTAAAGGAAAAGTATTTCAAGAATTTTCATAATTAGCTCACGTGAAAGATCTTTGTATGAACTTTTAGCCATATATAGTCTTCTCTTTTCAGGTACGTTAACTATTACCATTCCCAATACATACGTCCGCATAATTGAACTTTATCGCTAGGAGCATCGATTTAGTGCTTGTGCATTCCCAGCCGAATTTGATTTTTTTTCAGGAACTTTGCAGGGATGGAAAATAATAAAATAGAATGTGATGATGAAGAATTGTGTGATTATTGTTTGTCGAATTGCAAGGATGGTGTTGTCGATGATGTTTCTAGTGACAGTGATATTATGCACCATACTGTTATTTGATGAATTTCAAGCAGTTTTGATTGAAGCCCAGATTTAGATAATTCTAGTTCTCGAGAAGAATAGTCTTCAAAGACAATCCCCAGTCTTGGAACGGTTTTTAGGTCTCTAAGGGGTAAATATAGAAAACATTCTGGATAGTGTAGCAGATGCTGTAGCTTTATTTATCGGCTATGATTTTTTTTTACATTTTTTGTAGAGGAGTCAGATAGATGTTATTATCAAAATATTGATAAATTCACAGCTTCCAAGAAAGTCCTCAAATAAAAAGATATTACAATACAAGACATGAAGAAAGTTTTGTAGCTTCTTATAAGACAAGTGCATAAAGACTAAAAAGTGTATTATTAGAATACGGATCTGTGTATAGAAACACGAATAATGACCAGAGACAGATTTTGAATGTTATTGAAGGCCTGGCACTTTAGTAATAATGAAGACTTGACTGATTTGTCAGTCAAGCTTTTGAAAGTCAGACCCACTGCTGAATTATTTTGTTCTAAATTTAAAAAAAATTTTGATAGCCTATTCAGAAGTTGTCTGTGTATAAAGGCATGAATACCTTGAAAGGGGGGGAGGTTATTCTTTAGAGTTTACAACTCGGTGAAGATTGTAAAATATGGAATTCTAGTTTGTATACTGTTTGAAAGTACTGCAGGCTACATGTGTGCTCAAGAAAAGTGATTGATAGAACAATTCATATGGATGACAACTTTATACATACTTGTGGCATCATATCTACATCGATAACTATTATAATAATGTGGAAAATAGTGAAAATCTATTACAAAATCAAATTAGAATTTGTAGCATTATTCTAAAAAACATAGGGCTTCCGGTATTGTGTCCCAAGGCAATATTAATATACTTTTCTCAGTGGTGAAAGTATTCAGATAAGAGGTAAGTGAAACAACACTTACCTGAATCATTGGGATATGCCAGTTGCTTATTTCCCGTTAATCTAAAGTGTTTGAGGAAACTCTTTATACAATGTAAAACATCAAGAGTTCAGCATCAGCTCTTTCCATTATATTTAATCTGCACACAAGTTTTACAGAAACGTTATAACAAATATGAAAACGATATCTTTTCATTTAAAATTTTTAAAAGCAACAAAAAGAACATATATTACGTCATAACTCCTTGAGTGCACAGTGAAAACTTACATAATCTTTTCTTTTCAGCTCACTTCATTATGTGTGTGCATGCGAAAAACTGAATTCACAGGTGGAAACATCAGGTATTGCAACATACTCCAACCTTTGAGATTCAAACCAAGGAGTCTCAAACCCTAATTCTAGGTTTAATTAATCGTCCATATCTGGATGTTTCCGAGTCTTTGGAAAAAAATCATTAACAGTTCTTTGCTTAGGAGGAGTTATCTTTTGAGCTAGTACTGGCTTGTCAGAAGGGTCTCCGAAAGACGATTTTCAACTGTCTTCAGTTCATTGAGAATGGAAGCCTGTTTGGCTACAGGTATAATGGAGTCGCTTTAATCTGTCACTTCAAGAGGTATTTACCTGAGCAATGAATAGAGAATTTCTCCACTTTTCATTTTTATTTTTTTCCAGACAAACTTGTCCATCTTTAGAAATATAGACTTCGATTATCCTGGCCAGAGGCCATTCAGTTTTCTTGACGTTGTCTCTAGAAACCAGAACAATATCACCAGTTTGGATGTGTTTCTGATTCTTCGTTGATTGGCATAAATGGCCCAAATACTCAGTATGAAATAGTTTTCGTAAATCTTGTTTCACAGGTTGTCGGTAAACATGTCTTTTTATTTAGACGACGAATCCAGAACATCAAGATCTGGGATTCTTGCTCCTTTAAGGTCATGCAAAAGCATAGAAGGGACAAGTGGAGTTATATCATCAACATCTTCTGAAATATAGGTTAAAGGTTGCAGATTAAGTACACTTTCAATGGCACAAATAATGATGTTCATATCTTCTAAATTTAGTGAACTTCCTAGAACCTTTCGTAGAATTCCTTTTATTATACCATGGGGCTGATGGGGGATTATATTTCCAAATGATCTTTTGAGATACACTGTATTTTGAAATGACGTCTCCAATAAATTTTCTTCAGCAAATTTTCAGCTCCTGAAAAATTAGAACCAATGGTCACAGTAAGAGATGGAAGGTCTAAAATGATAGTTCCCTTCGAGCTTTGAAATTTCTAAAAGTTAGCGAAAAAAAAAAAAAGGTCTGTTGATAAATATGTAGTCAACTTCAGATGTGTAGCTTAGTAAATGGCACAAGTAAATATAACAATCCAAACTTTCTGGCCATTTCTTAGGATTAATGGGCCAACATAATCCATTCCCGAGACTTCAAAAACTGCAGCTTCCTTTATGCGATCTTCTGGGAGAGGAGCTTCAATGATCAGTGTAGGCTGCAAATTAAATCGTCTATATCTTACACTGGTCCTAATTACATTTCTTACTGTCTTCCTGCATTTAAGAATCCAGAAATCTTCTCTTAAGTTGCTTATCAGGATTTGAACTCCTGCATGGTGCAATTGCGTGTCTCTGGTCCGGATGATTTTTTCTGTAACTGGATGATTACAGGGTAGTACTGTTGGATATTGGAAATTTCTTGTACCTTTTCTCATTAAGATTCAAGTCTGAACTTTCAAAATACCATTAAAATCAACGTAACACTGAATAATTTTCAAGCATTTTATCATCTGGTTCAGAAAACTGTTTCTTCTGTACAACTTTCAACAATGCGATCTCTGTGTTATTTCTTCCGTTGTCAAGATTCCACAAATTCGATTACACTTTTCAACCTTGCAATTGGTAAAAAATCGATGCATCCATGCAGTGACGCTTTAATTTAAAAATGCTCTAACATTTTATATTCATGTTAGAAAGTTCTCAGTAAAAGTTTATTTAGATGTTCTAGTATTTGAAGCAAAAGAAGCACTGTTCATCAGTGGTTAGAAACAAATATAACCACTGTGTACGCTTCTCTACTCAGCTGTACATGTTCTTCATAATTGCTTTCTTAGAAGCTCAATTATTTTAAGTAGGTTGCTTTTGGGGGGGGGAGGAATCACCATTGCAATTATTGATAAAACCTTTAAGTAATTTCCACTTGTCATCATGTAAGACATTTTGCTATTAGAAATAAACCTTACAAATAAAGCTTTCATCATGCTGTTTCATCTTTCTTGAAGTTTAGTTCTTGAAGTTTCTTGAAGTTTTGCTCAGATTATCTGGAACTTCAACTTTCAGGTTATTTTTTGACTTATCAGTAAAATTCTTTGTTCCATTCTTAAATATCTCGTTTCCGATATTTAATTGTCAAGGAATTTATATAATCATGTGGTTATCAATGGCATATCAATCAAGTTCTGGCCAGTGTGGTTTGACTTAATATTGACCAAAATAAAACAGCATTTTTGCATCAAGGAGCATGAATCATATTTTCAGAAAGGAAAATAAAATCTCAATCAGCTTAGTCCAGTTCATCCTAACTCTTTGAAAATTCTAATATCTTTACTTTTTCATACTTCACTACTGTTTTCTTCAACAGATCATGCTACAATCATTTTTATTTTACTTGCTTTCCATGTGAAATCATTTTGTCATCTAACTACTGTGGTCTCCCCTTCTGAAAAGAGGCATATTGTTCTCTCTCAGATTTGATGTAGGTTTATAGTTATTTATTTTTTTAAATGTACATCACCTGAGGCTGCTTTTCTGTCTAATTTTAAAATATGTACCCTCTCTAGCATTAAATAAAAATCCTCATAAGCTTTATTGTTGTACACCCTCAAAGCAGACTAATTGGATAACTATAGGTAAATTTTACAAAACTTTTGTCATGATTTCACCTAAATATATGTTTAGTTTAAGACACAATAACACGCCGAATAAATACTAATTCAGAAGTCAAACAACAAAAATCAGCGTTATATTCACAAAATTTTCACAGGACTAGTTTCGATGGTTTTACCGAACCATCATCTTCAGCTGCAAAACCGCAAATGAACAAGATAGGAAATAATGATTAGATGAGATAAGAAAGCCTGGACAAGAATAAGCAAGTGGCGCCATCTGTTGGCGAAACCAGAACTAAAACATAATTTCTCTAAAAGCCGAAGGCAAATTTGGATTGGAATTAGGATCGTTAACTAGAACAGAAAGATTTTTATGAATGTGAAATGCCTCTAGAAAATCAGTTCTCCAATGGAAGATGTTTTTTGAATAATTTTGGCAGCAGAAAAATTGAAAGTGTGATTTTCGGACCAACAATGTTGAGCAACAGAAGACTTCTGTGTTTCCTTTTTTCTAACATATGCCTCATGTTCTTTGACGCAAAATTTTAAGGCTCTCTTAGTTTGACCAATGTAAATTAAACCACACTTGCAAGGAATCCTATAAATACCCCAGGAATTCATATCCGGAATGGGGTCCTTGAGTATAGAAGTTGGAATTTTATTGATGGGAGAATAAACAACCCGAAAGTTAAATTTCTGCAAAATATGTGCAACTTTATAGCTAATTGATGGAAAGAAGGGAATGACAACAGAATTTTTATAATCTCCTAAAATAAGAGTGTGGCTTTTAGTGTGTTGAGATGACAATTTTTTAACTGCTTGATTAATAATGTTGGGTGAACTTAATTAATAATGAAGAACTAAATTATTTAAAAGCAATAGCTATTGACAGGGGCTTTTCACCCAACATTATTAATCAAGCAGTTAAAAAATTGTCATCTCAACACACTAAAAGCCACACTCTTATTTTAGGAGATTATAAAAATTCTGTTGTCATTCCCTTCTTTCCATCAATTAGCTATAAAGTTGCACATATTTTGCAGAAATTTAACTTTCGGGTTGTTTATTCTCCCATCAATAAAATTCCAACTTCTATACTCAAGGACCCCATTCCGGATATGAATTCCTGGGGTATTTATAGGATTCCTTGCAAGTGTGGTTTAATTTACATTGGTCAAACTAAGAGAGCCTTAAAATTTTGCGTCAAAGAACATGAGGCATATGTTAGAAAAAAGGAAACACAGAAGTCTTCTGTTGCTCAACATTGTTGGTCCGAAAATCACACTTTCAATTTTTCTGCTGCCAAAATTATTCAAAAAACATCTTCCATTGGAGAACTGATTTTCTAGAGGCATTTCACATTCATAAAAATCTTTCTGTTCTAGTTAACGATCCTAATTCCAATCCAAATTTGCCTTCGGCTTTTAGAGAAATTATGTTTTAGTTCTGGTTTCGCCAACAGATGGCGCCACTTGCTTATTCTTGTCCAGGCTTTCTTATCTTATCTAATCATTATTTCCTATCTTGTTCATTTGCGGTTTTGCAGCTGAAGATGATGGTTCGGTAAAACCATCGAAACTAGTCCTGTGAAAATTTTGTGAATATAACGCTGATTTTTGTTGTTTGACTTCTGAATTAGTATGTTTAGTTTGCTAAATGTGCAATCAAACATAATGGAGCAAAATATGTTGTTGGCTAAATGTTCTATCAGCTAAGTGTCATGTCTAAGTGGTCAGGTAAGTGCTCATAACCATCACCGATGTAAATGTTTTAAGTGAGTATTAATACCCAATCAACCAGTTAAGTGCTAAAATAGGTAAGTGCTCATGACCATGACTAATGTAAATGTTTTAAGTGAGTATTAATAACCAGTCATGTGCTAAAATATTTTTTTTTTTTTTTTAAGGCCAAGGTTTGAAAGATTTGAATAACAAAAAGGGAAAAATTATGTGGATTCTGAATCTTTCAAAATTTGTAGGATTTAAGGAATTGGAATGCCTCATTTCTAGTTTGTTTAATGTATTATATAAATTAATGGAAAACATCTAAGGGCATGTAATAAATTACAATATGTACCTAACAGTTTATGCTTTATATTTTTTATTAGGAATTCTAATGATTAAACATATTTTTAGAGAAATATGGTGATATAAATAAATAAATTTGAATTATTTTCCCCATTATTAGAATTGCTTATGGATATAAGTAGAAACTAATTATTTTTCTTATTAATTTAAACATATAACAAAAATCTGTACATTGTTTTATTCATAAAAATAATTTAACATATTGCAGTTGGAAAAACAAAAATTTTTTTGCTGTCAGTAGTTGAGACTAGTTTGCAACACTTTTATATTAGTCCACTGTATTGTAAAACAGTGTTTCCTAAATTGTGGTTGGGAACCACATTTTGATGGTTATGAATTTCATTCAAGTTTTGTTTTGTTTGTTAATTATCATATGTATTTACTTTAAATTGTTAATTAAACTTCATTGGGTGCTCCTCTTTTTCTACTTCTTTCCCCCCTTTTGAACATTCTGCCTATTATGTGTGTGGGTTGCTAGGAATTGCAACTACACTCAAACCAGTTTTTATGTGTTTTTTTTTTTTTTTTTTGGTGTGTGTGTGTGTGTGTTATTTTTTGGGGCGGTATATAAACATTTCAATCAAATTGGAACATAATTGATGCAGTTTTCAAAAAAAATAATCAATTAAAAAAAAGGAGCTTCTATCGTGTATATCTGGCTATCGTGACATACACAAGCGTCTAGTGAAAGAACAGCTGTCACAGAAACCAATCAATGTCTGCATGGTAACTGAAAAAGTCAGCTCTAAACGACTCTGACTTTTTTTTTTTTAATAGCTACTCGTAAAGTTTTGTACGATTTTTGTATTCGATCCCTAGCCACTGCACAAAACCAGGTTTGAGTGTATGTACAGCTACACTGCAGTTGTAAGAAGATTGCCCTAAAGTAATTTTCAAAAAGATGCAATTAAATTTACTGGCATACGGTAAGAATGTATATATATTTATTTTATAGCTGAATTTTAATGCAATTTTGTTCCTTTTCCCTCCAAATAGGATTTTTTGATCGCTACTCAAAAGGAGATGCTGCAAGCCCATTTAAAGATCCAATCCAGAATCTCAAATTTGATGGATGTTTAACTGAAAAGCCAGGACCGGCTGATCCTCTGGCGTATGTTAATGAAATTTATATTTATTAGTTATAATTTTAAAATGATTCGCATTCATCTGTTCAAAATCATATTAACTCCTTCGCGACAGCATGTTGCTGAGCTACAAACCTTCTGCAAACAGGTGTGTCATATATGATGCATCAGTCCCAAATGTTGCTAGTAGCCGAGTGATACACTCATGCATCACCACTTGCATTGATCTTCCAGATGGGTGTTGCATATATGCATTCTCAAACATACATAATCTTTTAGAATTTTTTTTATATCACGAGATGGCACTCTGTATCCATTACATTTAGATTATTTGAACATATGCATTGCTGATCTTGCGTCCGTGAAGTATTTTCTGATTCTCTGGTGATTAGTTTAGATGTACGATCAGATGATATAAAGTAAATAAAACCCAGCTGACACGCAGTTGTCTTCACGTGATATAAACATTGAACAGTTTCCGATGCTTCAAATGTGCTTTTTATTTTTTTCCTATGGGAAGATTCGGAGTGGAGCTCTGGTTTTAGGAACTCTGGTTTGCATTCAGTTTGCAATCAGATTTAGATAGGAAACGGTAAGTTTTTTGCACCAAGTAATAGAGTTAAATAAATGGTGTGATGTCTAAGAGAAAGAAGTTTTTAACAGAAGAGTATATTCGAATTTGTAAAGCCCATGAATGTTCATTTGAGCCCATGAGTGACTATTTTGACACCAAAAACTAGATTTAAGTGGGAATAGCGATTTTTGTTAATAATATCTTTTCAGAGACTGAATTGGAAGTTTGTTAGTCCAGCAGAACGGTGGCTACTCCGTCACGAACTTGATCATTTTAAGTAATTGAAGCCTTATGAATTTACAGGAATTCAGGAGTAAACATATTCAAAGTTATGAAAATGAAACTGATTTTTTTTCAATGATCTAATGAACATAATAGTGGAAGAAATTAATAATTTCTATGAACAAAAGATGAGGGAAAAATCCATCTTCATCCAAAATTAACATACTCCTCTAGATGTGCCTAAAATGAGGGATTCCTAGGATTAATTTTTCTACTGGAATGGACGAATGAAAAAGTTCTAACTGAAAATGTGTTTCATAATTAATGAAATGATAGCGACTAGATTATCACACACTGCCTCCTTTCTGAATCATTTATGCTATAATAGTTGATCGTATATTTTATTATTTTTTCATATGTTTAGATTGAGACTTAAGTAAGATTTTTACATTTCATCAAAATGAGTCATAAGATTTTAATTAAAAATATTTTCAGAGTATCTTGATATTCTGCCTTTATGATTATGTTATTGTTAGATACTATTATAGAAAAAATCAAAACAATTGATAAAAAAAAATTTTAACCCTTTGTTGCATCATGTCCACTCTAGTAGACAAAAGTTTAAATTTGTTTATTCTTCTGTAAATGCCTTAACAGATTCAATTCCTGTGTTTATTCATTCTATGCTACAGTCAAAAGTCGTTAATCCGGACTCGTCGGGACTTTGGCGATTCCGGATTATTGATTTTTCCGGATTATAGATCATCAGTTTAAATCTGGTAAGATGACGTGCAGAAATTCTAAAATTAAAAAATATGAAACCGTAATTTAAGAAATAAAGAACAATTATGATCTAAAGGGTATCAAAATTTACCAAAAAAAAAAAAAACTTAATATTTATTTGTTTACTTTATTAAACATTTCTTTCAATGTAAGCATTGTTTTAAAGTTGCTTCGTTTTATGTGATAATATTTTCTCTTTAATTCTATAAACAGACACAATTCTTGTTCAGTTACAAAGTTCCGCTGTTCAAGTCCCGTTAATTGTTGTGTTGAGAATACCGACTAACTTGTCAATCGAAATTTTTTCGTTTTCACTAACCTCTCTGTCACATTCTTCATGTCTTTATCCATTTTTTGCAGCAATTCCACTTTTTGTTTGATGGACATCGAAACATGCTTTCACTTTGTAGATCCTTTGGCAGTATCCAGCATCGGAAGTTCTATTTGACATAATCGAAAGTTCAAGCTTACTTTTATAAAATTGCTCTAATAGTCTACAAAAAATAATAAGCTGAATCCAATTCGAAGATTAAGGAATAATGCAATCTGCAACATTAACTGAAATAGATAATTTTAGCTTAGCTTATACCATCCGTTATACATAAAACGCGCACGCGAAAACGTATTCTGCGCTTGTGCAAACGCATATGCGCAGTGGTAAAAGGTCTTACGTGCACGCGTAAACGCCTATGCGCATGTGTCAGCGCTGCGCATGCGCAGAAAGTTTTTAGGTTTGAGGTCTGGATTATAGATCATTCCGGATTATGGGTGTCCGAGTTAATGACTTTTGACTGTATTAGAACTTTCAACTGTGGATCATAGATGGCTGTATAGCATCAGTAAGTAAAGCATTGCTATTTGGAAATTGGCTGCTACTTCTGTTTCCAAGTTAGTATATTTTCTTATACTGCCATTTTTTATTCTTAATTAGTAATTTTAGACATTTTATTTTAAATGTCAGTTTGAGAAAATTGTGGAGTGGGTAGATAAAGATCTTCCGAAAAGAGTGAATTGAAAGTCAGATGTACTGCTTATCAAGCCAAAACACCACTGGAAATGTTTACGTTTGGCAAGGAATTTCTAGAACATTTGACATTTGAATCAAATAGGTATAGGTAATAAAATCGTAGCAAAATGAATTCAATCACAATCGACAAAATGAAGGTATTTTAGGGGATCTGTATGTACATGTCAGTTGTAGATTTACCATTTAGAAGATGATAATGATCACTGCAAACAAGGCAGAAAATGCTTTCAAATGCAATGACTGTAAATCGTTGGGAAGAGATATGTATATGCATGCTGTCCACTGTAGTGAATGAACTGTAGCAATTATTTAAAACAAAATTTGAATAAAATTAAATTTTATTATTATTACTAAGGTTATTTTAAGTAGAAAAAATACAAACATTTTCGTTTAACTTCTCTAGATTATTTGTATGCAACAAAGGATTAATGATTTTTTTTAAAGTTGGGCTTAGCACCGCGAAATATCCTGTCTTGTGAGATCTTACCTGAAACAACACACCATCTCCAAGGTGAGTTGCACTAAGCAGCATGCCGTCTTGTAAGAGGATTAACTGTTGATGCATATATGATACACCTGTCCTAAAGGGGTTAATAATAAAGCATCATAAATAAGTTGATGCCTAATTAAAAAAATCCTTGAAAGTAAAGTTTTCAGTATTCAGCATCTGCAGTCAGCAGCAAAAATTTTGTCTGTGAGATTGTGTTTAATATATAAGGTATGCTGTTAATGTGGCAACAAACTCACTTAAGTGATAGTAAGCATCAAATGGAACAATAATTCCTATGGAACGGGGAACAGACTTTACTAACTAAACATGAATGCTATTGCAAATTGTGTTTAGCATCTTTCTGTTTTAGCTATCATGCAAAGGTACAATCTTACTAATAAGTTAGGTGACTTTTCACACAGGCATGAAAAAAACAGCACACTGGAAAAGATTTAAATTGCCCTTTTATTTGATTCAACTTTAACAAAAATGCACGTACTTCGTGCTCACAGTAACACCAACTACTTGTGGTGGGAACTTGAGAATAATTTAACAATAACTTTAAATGGCCAAGAGCGGTGCTTAGTAAAAAAGACGTTAAATACATAGACAATAGATGTTAAATACATTTCCAGAAGGCGTATCAGCAACTCAGAGTAACAGCAGAAAGGGCAAAATAGCAAAGCGCACTATGCTAGCAAAATCACGCTCTTTCTCTTTTCACATGTTTAAGTACTCTTCACTTTAACTGGGTTTTCATCCTGGCAAAGACATGCGAGAGGAATTGAGTTCAGAAAAGATAACAAAAATTAGAATAATTGGTTATTCAAATTAAGGAAAACACTACACGTTTAATTGTAAAAGTCGCAAAAATAGTTACATAGAGTCTGTTATTAAATAAATTCCAAAAAAGTGCAATAAAGAATACAAAAACATTTCATTTCACAGCATATTTAAAACAATAGTTGTCACAGTGTGTGTTGTGTCAGTTATTGTCCCTCTTGATGTCTAATGTCACCTCTTTGAATTTGTTGCTGCAATAAAAGAGAGATTTATGAACCTGGCTATGAAAAATTTCATGTTAAAAACAATGATTCTTGCATCAAAAAGCAAGAATAAATAAATCTTTCGTAAATAACTATTGTTTTATCTCAACTGTTCTTTGAAATTTAGTTTCATTAAGATTTTAAAAAAGAAAGAAAAAACTAAGTTCATGAATTAGATTTTCTTCGAATTCAGAGCTATCAATGTTAGCTAATAGTTTTAATTCCAGTCTTTTTTTTTTTTTTTCGTGTTTAAAAGCCTTCACTGTATTTTTTAAGCTTTGAATTCAGCTTTATTGGGTAGATTATGCTGTGATTGTTGCTTTTCTGTTTTTATTATTTGTTTATCTTCCTTGCTATTTAAATTATGTACTTCTGATCTATGGACAAAATATTTTTGCTGCTTTACAAGTGCGAGTCTCTCTCCAAATGCCTTTTTTTTTTTAACTGACATTCATCTAATGTTAATTTTTGATTAATTTTACTAGGCATATTGTTAAAAACACTTTCCCTGAACCTCCTGCAAATAATTGTAGCTGCTACACCTGTTATCTCTTCAAATTACGGATGTAATCATGAGATTTTTAATTAATCTGAGAGATACCAGCTTTGTTGCAGTTTTTATTATTAGGGTTAAGACTGCTGGATAACAAGGTGTTTGACCTGAATTCAGCATCAGGCAAATGAGCTAGTTGCATGATTGGATTTTGTGTTTTTCCCATGTGCAACATGAATATGAGGCAGTTTCCTTTTACAAAGTCCTCCATGAAGGTATCCTACTCTTAAGTAGATAGCCCTTATGCACTTTTTTGTATACAAGTACATAACCTACTTACTTGTATCTATCTATTCCAATACTTTGGATCCTTTTCAACAGTCCATAAAAAACATGTTTCAGCATATTTAGTTCTTTATCTGAGGCTGCCCTTATTCTGTCATTACCTACTGTTCAAAAAATGCCAGTTTAACAACTTCTTGTATAATCATTTTCTACGTAACAATGGCACTACCATTCTTTGTGCAGATTTTGTAACACTTGTAACAAAACATGGATTCTGTGGTCAACTTTCATCATGGAATTTTGATTCATGCTTTTTACCCAGGCCTATATTGTCAATTGATAACATTCATCTATATGCAGAAGTTGGTCTAAGTTAAAATTTTTTGCTACTCTTTATGTTATATGGTTTAGAAAATATACTTAACTAATGGAAACATTTCATTCAGCAAAATTAGTTGTTAATGATGTTAAATAATACAACTTCTGATTAACCGGGGGCAGATCAGTCAAGTTGCAAATTAATTGGTTCTTGAGTTTGTTTATTGCAAAATGTTTGAAAAATTACTGTTGCATAAACAAACAAAATAATTAAACAAAATAAAGCAAAATTTATGCAGAAAGTGCAAAAAAGAAAAGGAAGTGTTCAGATTTTTTTTTCAGAAGATGTAATTCAATTGTACATGATTGAGAATATATTATAATAAAAATAAATAGAAAGTCATCCATTGAAAATAAATTGCTAAATCATAAAAATAGGTATACAGCCCATAATCTTTTGTTTATCGTTGATTCCTGTCGAAATGCAAGAGCATTATAAACAAAAACATTGTTCTTTCTGTTTTGATGTTTTTTTGTTTTGAATGCTGGTTTAATTTACATAACTAATCAAGCTTGTTCTTTGAATTCAACTGCTTGAAAATATAGGAAACTCGTTAATAGTATTTTCATGATATATATAATATGAGTTATTCCTTTTCCTATTTTTTTTAAGCTGCTGTCCTATTAATTATGATTTTGTGTTAATTGTGGGTATCAGCCCTATTACGAACCTGGTTAATCAGAAGTTATTTTTACATATTGATTATGAACTATAAAAGATGATGTGGCCATACAGATATTTTACCATTGATTTATATTTGTCTTAAATGATAATTGTCTTTCAAATTTTCATTTTCTTTTTTTTTAAAAAATTTTCTTAGGCATTGTGGTGCATATACATCTAAAGAAGTCTTACGATTAACACTTCTGAAAGCTAAAACTTTACAAGCATTGTATAATGACAGGCTTAACCATACATTTGAAGCAATTCGAGATGCAAGACTTGAGTATTTGGCAGAAAGGAAGGCGATGGAAGCACAAAATTTGGGTGAATTTTTACTTATTAGACGTTGAGTTTAAGTATTTGATCTTTTAACACTTGTGTAGTTTATTACAAGTTTGAATGAAATCAGGAAAATGATCTATCTTGAACTATGTAATGTAGATTTTTAGTAATAGCTTCTTTTTATAGGTTCTTGTTTATAGGGGATGTTTGTTCAGATTGGGCATCATCTTTGAGCGTGAAGTTTCCATCTTTAAACTACTTTTGAATGTGCTATCAGAAATAGCATGTTCTCCATACACAGTACAAATTTTATGAGCACTTTTTCTTTTCTTTTTTTTTTTAAATAAAGGAGTGTAATATGATGAAAGTTAACTTCTGGGTTCTTCATTCTTAGTTTTGCTCTAAAACAAAATTTATGCTGCAACACATGCTAGAATTGTGCAACATCTGTAGAAAAACAGTATTTAAAACATCTGCATCACTTAAGATCACCCCTTATTAGCAGTAACAAATTCTTGACAAGAAAACATGCTTCGATTTGAAAATGGCAAAACTTTCTGGACGACCCAACTGCATTCCTAATTGTTCCATCAAATCTGAAATCTTCATCTTCAGAGCATGTGCTGTGATTCAGTGAGATGCTATATATTAAGTACTTTGTTAGTAGATCATCTGCACACATATTTTTTAATTAGTAGCCATCATTTTTTTTAACATGTAATGGCTTCAAATTTTCCTTTTAATGCTCTATATATCAGAAGTGGTTGTGGTATGGATATACCCAAATGATTACTTTCTCAAATCTGAAAATTCTGGATTTGAAAAGTTTGTAAAATCAAAGATTTTAAAAATTATTTTGGGACAAATAAATCATTCAGAGATTACATAAATTAAAAATGTATATATTATGAAGTTCAGTGACAGGTCAAACTTTTTGTGTGAACGAATTAAGTCACGCGAATTCCACAAAGAAACCATTTTTGTTGTTTCTTTTACAGGAAGAAAAAATGATGATTGTAAGTTTTGGGCTGAAGTATTCAGACTGGAAAACGATGGAAAACAGAATACCCAGTATTGACAAAATTGATTTAAAATCTGTTTTAACTTTCTTTCGTGGGCTGGTTATTAAGTTCATTTAATTATATGGGTGATATTATATTAGATTGAAGAAATCTTTAAACAATTATAGCTAAGACACTGCACAGATTGAAATATCATTTATTCTCATTACACAGAATTGTGTATGAAGCTTTTGGTTAACATGTTAAGCCTGGCACTGAATTTACTGTCCTTTCCGTTCAGCCGGGATGAGTGATCAAGCGGTGCAACGCTGCAGGGTTATCCACGACTTCATGCACCAAGTAGAACTTATCTGTTGGTGAGCTTTGTCTTCTACTGACATACAAGTGCTGCCTGTGCATGACAAAGCTCGTGGTCGCGAATGTTAATACTGTCGGTCTACACCAGCCAAATGAAAATTCCCCTGCCGGCTACACAGAAAGTTCACCGGGGCCGGGCTCAACGTGTTAAAATAATCCCTCGGGTAACGACTGGTGATAATTTATTGCATAACTGGACAGTTTATCAAAATTCTTTACCTTTCATGAACAATTCTTTTCTTTTTAGCAGTTCCTTATGTCCAACACTTGTTAATCTGCATACTGCAAGTCGTAATGAATATATAGGTGATATGTTAGAATGAAGAAATTTTTAAACAGTAATATAGATGCTGCACAGATTGAAATTTTATTTGTTCTCATTACTCAAACTGTATATGAAGCTTTGGTTAAGCTCAAACTGTATATGCAGCTTTTGGTTAAAGTAAACTCTCAGATGATTGTTGGTAAAAGGTTTTAAAGACAATTTATTGCCTAACTGGACTGCTTATGCAAATTCTTTACCTTCCATGAATCATTCTTTTCTTTTAAGTAGTTCCTTATTTTGAACACTTGTCATTATGCATACTGCAAGTCCATATCTAACACTTAATGGTTGACTGAAAAGTAAATTGTACATGAAGACATATTCCTTATTGTATTGAATTTTCAAGTATTAGCAAAGAAAAATATAAATATAATAATTCCTATAAAGTACTTCTCAAGTGAAAAGAAAGTAGCAATAATTTATAGAAAATGTTGAGGAACCAAATAGATAGGCAACTGTGTGACTTGATGTGAAGAATAAGTAATTTTTAATGAATTAGGAAAAATATGCTTTTTACTTTGCTCGTGAGATAGTGTAAAAATATTTGTGTGCATATTTGTATGTGTGTAGTATATTAACGCATGTAAATTATTTGAAATTATGTAGATTTTTACTGCACAATATTTTTTAACCTTATTTTGAAATAAGGTTACATTCACTGCTGCTATATTAGTGTAATGTTGAAAAATAGCTGAAGCAGTGAGCGTCTTGCAAACTTCTGTAATACAGTGGATTTTAACCTGTTTTGCCACATGCGCTCCTTCCATTAGTAGATCATCCTACCCTTTACGAAACTAAAAAAAAAAAAAAAATACATACTCATTTATCTTGATTTAGATTATTTTTTAACATTATTTATAAATTAAGCAATGAAAAGTGTAGAAAATTCTTCCCCGGTGCGAATTCCTGTTTGAGAACCCTTGCTCTAGTGCTTAGACTGTGCTGCTGAACCATATGTGTGAATTGATCACTGTGCAAGGCTTCTGATTCACCTGAATCGTATAAGGCAGAGATTCTCAACCAGTGGTGGTATGCAAGAGAAAAGTAGGTGGTATGCAAAGACACAAAATTTTTTAAAGTATTAAATTCAAAAACTCGTGAAGAAAAAGAACAATTGATAGAAATTTTGTGTGATCGAACTCTGCCTGAAGATTTAAAAATTAACACACTTGTTAACTTTTGGCTGAAAACAAAGCTATTAAATTTTTATTGCCGTCTTGCACAACCTATTTGTGTGAGCAAGGGTTTTCTTCCATGTCATATTTGAAAAAGAAAAAAGAACAAAATTAAAAATGGATCCAAATTTATGGTTAAAACTAAATGAAATAAGTCCAGACATAAAGATATTGATCTCTCTTAAACAGTCTCAAATTTCACACTAAATTTTAGAATTAAAGTATCATAACTTGGATTTTGATAATTAAAATAACTAATTTTTTAATCTAATATTTTCGATGTGTTCATAGTTAATTCAAATACCCAATAGGTTGTGCAAAAGGCAAAATATATATATTTTTTAATATTTCTATTGAGATATTGAAAAATAATCATTGTAAAAAATGTAGTTGTGGTACTAAAGTTTTTCAATTTTTGTTTAGATTGCATGCGTTAGTCCAAAGGTTGAGAACCGCTGGTCTAAGGGAAGCCACAGCTAGGCTTTGTTCGGTGGCACTACGATTCATTTTTTTGTGCTCAAGGTTTCTGTGTTCTTGTTTGATAATCGCTGTATCTGTGTATTGGTATTATTAATAACAGAATTCTCCACGTCAGTATGTTTGTCATTGCTTATAAATTTGCTTTACTGTGGTTGCATTCATCATAAATACTAGTTTCTCAAAAGAATAATCTTAAGTCTGAGTGTGTCATAGTTCTCCTGTGATCAAGTGGGAAACCATTATGACTTGTATTTGTCAGCGGTGCATTATTTAAGCCATCTGTGTACACTGAGCAGGTTTAATTTCGTTGCTTAATAGTGGTTTGGTTGTTCTTTCGTATACTACTTCCTAAGAGAGAGGGGCTTTACCGTCACACAGCGTGTGTGTGCTGTAATGTTAATCATTTAAATATCTGTCCATGATATATGCATCATGCCAAAAAAAAAAAAAGGGATCTATTTTAAATGTTTTTCATATTTTTGTGGTCTAAAGTATCTATTAATGTTTTTACTTCAGTTTAATAGCAATTTGTATGTTTATTATAATGTTTGATATGTTTGTTTTTTTAGAAGATAGATACGAAACCTGTGTAGATGAAAAAATTTTGGATAAAGATGAGGTGAAAGCCTTTAAGGCTCTTGAAAAGTATCATACTCCTCAAGGTACTGAAAGACTTCTGTGTCATTTGGCTGATATGAAGTATCAAAGAATAAAGAAAAAGCATGTCCATGAAAATATATGCATTTTTGTAGAAAATGGGAAGAAGTGTAATAGAAAGAGGATATCTCTGTCTAAGTACTGCTTTAATCGTATCCTTTTGAGAATTGTAGTTACAAGTAATGAAAAATGCATTATGGTGAAATTTTGAATCATTGTGCTGCTGTTTTTGCTTTTTGTGGCGATTTTTGTTCTTAGTATAACTCCTGAATTTTGCAGTTTGATAATTGTAATGGTGATATATAAAATTGTAAGAAAACTTTCCATTTATGTGAAAATTTTCTTAATGAGAAATAGACATTTTGCATGACCCAAATCAAGTACTTTTCAAGCCATGTGGTCTTGGGAAAAGTAATGATTGCAACAACCCTGTTCTTCCGATTGAAGATGATGTGTCTTGTGAACAGCATTTACATTTAACTCTTTTGAAACCCAATGAAAAAGAGGTAAGACAAGGCTATATAAGGATTTTCTCTTTTAGTTGCAAAGCATTTTATTGGATTGATGCACATAAAATATATACATTTAGATTGTTGCTTGCAGAAACTATATAACAGTACTAAAGCAGTTACTAATCTAATCACCCTAATTCACTGTACATTGATGCACTTTGAGCTATAAAATGTGGGACTTTAGATAGCACTGCAATAAAATTTTTATCATTAAATATAGGAAAATAGCAACAACCTGATGTATAGCGTATTCATTTAAAAAAATCTGCTATCATTGATAATACTCCAAATGATGGAAAATACAATCTGTGGAGGTGAAAGTTAATAATAAGGTAGTTTAGGCAGATTTTTGAAGTCCATCTGATGGAGTGGTTGAATCATCTTTGAGAGACTTGAAAGTGGGTGTTGTTATGAAAACAAACTGTATGCATGACAAATATAAAAAATATGATGGCTGTGCTCTATGCGAACAGGCAACCTCTAATTAGTTTTCTGCAATTTAGGATCTCCCCTTAGACCAGTACCTTCGAGAACATTGTAGCCTATTATGTAACAGCTACTATAAGTAACGAATGCGTGCCATTTTGCGGACTGAAGCTCGCTTCTCCTGTGCTATACATCTCGCTGCTACTTAACCTATCTTTCCTTTATGAGAAATATTGATGACGCTGAAAGTTTAAATTCAATCGTACTTAGTTTAAACCACTATTGAATATGTAATTTGGAGAATTTCGTATGAAGTAAAGCATGATCTATGGTGAAAATTGAATTAGCTATGGAATAAAGATGTGCAATTAAAAGCTAAATCATCTTGTCTCATCATTTGGATTCTGCCTTACCACTCTGCCTGTACTTTGATGCCAAGCTTCATCACGACTGCTGGAAAATATCACATGCATATACCTTTTAAGTTTTTTTCTTGGGGGATGAGCAGTTCTATTTGTGTTCCAGTACCACAGTGATGCATACTGATGGCATTACCTTACTGGAAGAAAGAAATCATAGGTCATGCTGGATGCTGACCATCTTATAAATTGCTCTTTCTTTTGAGTAATAATACTGGCAGTTATATAATCCTTTAAGATAAGTAGCTACTCAGTTGGTTTTTTTATGTATTTATTGGTAGGCTAAAGATTTAAAATACAGTTCAGCTGTTTTTCATTGCATATTATGATTCAGTTTAGGATTTAGTCTTTTCATCTTGAGAAGGATGGAACTACTTTCTCTCAAACGGTACTTTTGTTGGGGGTTATTTGATCTGTGTAGCATCCAGATATGCATTCTTTTTCATAAATACTTTAATCGGAATTGATTAGTTCACAGTAAATGAATGACATTTTCAAATATGCTTTGGATTTAAAACTTCTATAATAATTAATAAAAGTGCATCCCTAAACATCAAAGCGATGGAAAACCTCAGAAACCCGTCGTAAGCACAGAAAACTATCACCAGACTTAGGAACTGTCACAACCACTAAATGCTGAGTTTTAAGAAGAATGCTGATTTCTTCTTAATTTCTAATCTTGCACAGGGGGAAGTTCTTAATGAAGCAAAATGGAATACAAGTGCACTGTTTATAGTAAAATCTGAATATTCTCTTTAGGTTTCTATTAATTTTGCACTTACCGTACTTTTTGATGTACTTGAAAGAATTGTAAACAGGAAAAATACTTCTTATTGAGAATTTATTATATATGTTTTAAATTGCTTCATGTACTTTGGAGTGGGGCCAAAATCATTTACTGTTTTAATCAAAAGTCATCTAAAATAAATAATGGCAAAACATAAATGATATGTTGTAGAAGAAGCAGGGGCTAATCCTAAATGACAGAAAGAATTCAGAAGAAAATTCAAGAGCTAAATTGTATATGCTGTACAGATTATTCAAAGTAATTGTTTTTAAACAATTACTTTATATTTAAGTAATTGTTTAAAAAGGCTTTATGTTTAAAATTACCAATATATGACAAGTAATCAGAGCATGAAATGGAAAGACAACTCTAAATTTTCCTTGCAAGTGATCTAGGGAATTTTTTTGTACTTTCTCAAAACAGCATCAAGATTATAATCAGATTCTCTGCATACTAACTTCAGCATATCCATTCTTTTTTTTCTATCTGAAGAACAGTAGTAATGGGGCTTTTAAGATCATATATGCAGTGGTCCACGTATATGTCTTTAACATACTTCCTTAAGAAAATGTTGTGTGGTGAAAGATCAGTAACATAGGTAGGATGTGTGTGCAACGAGTTATGGATATATTAGTTCCATGCACTTGGAGCTGCTTTATGAAGGAAATAAGGCTTTTACATTTAAAGTTTGATGATATTCTGATATTAAGGATTATCCTTTTTTATTTAATATATACCAAATGAAGGGTTACTCTGCACACTAAGTAAAACTTTTTGGTTCTATTCGGTTTCGAGGGCCGTAAAAATCACCAAACTTTTGTTGATACCGATGCTGCCAAAAATAATTGCGGCAAGAAAGGAAGTATAATACTAAATAACTATTTAAGATTTATGTTTTAATTTAGATGAAAGGATAATACTTTATATTATTATAATTTATTTGAAAAAGGCTAAACATGACTGAATGGAAGCATAAGAGTAAATAACTATTTCAGATCATTATTATAACTTATATAAAAATTGCTAAACATAACCGAATGGATGCCTGCATCGCTATTTCGCTACCGACTTATTGCTAAAGCATAATTTCATCTCGTTGGTCGTTCAAACGTAATTTTCTATAATGAATGATGCCTTTTCTTTGAAAATATTCTCGGTAAAGTGCAAAATCGCTCACTTATTTGTTTCCTGCTTTTTACAAGGGTAAAAACAGTTGGATTTTTGTCAATTTTCTTGTACTTTTTAAGTGAAAATAGGTCGATGTGTACATAGATAAAGTCAAGGATGTGCGCAGTGCCATTTTTATGCAATTTTAGGATTTTTTTTAAGTGAAATAGGTCGATGTGCACATGGATACCGAGTATGTGCAATTCTTAAAAACGCATCAAGCAGCAGGTGATTCTGCACTTTACCTAAAATTCTATTGCCGACTTTTCGTCGTGGGCAATTCCCAATTGTTAAATCCATAGGATATCAAAAAAGGATTTAAGATCAAAAAAGGATTAAAAAATTAAACTAGTATTTCAATGGCATCTTAAGAAATATAGAACTATATAAACTTACACAATCTGAAAATCAGCGCGTGCGCTAGATTTGGCTAGCTGTTAAGGGGGCGCGTTTGCTAGGTTTGGCGCTTTTGCGCATACATTTTCGCTGCAATTTTTTTACGGCCCTCAAAACGGAATAGTACCAACTTTTTGTTATTTTAATGTGTGTGGTTTTTGTGTTAAGTTGTAAGATACTGTGTATGATATGGCGTCTAAAGGAGGATTCTTATCCTAAAATATTTTTATTACTATTTCCTTTTTGTACTAAAAAGAACACCGATGATACTTCTAATTTCTGTAAACAAATTCTATTATGAATTAAAATTTTTAATGTAATTGCAAATGCGCATATCTAGTTTTGCCATTGAATTAAGAAAAGCAGCTTTTTGTTTACAAAATGACCTCAAAATCAATAACTTGGCCTGAAAAAGTATTTTAAATATAAAACTTTATCATGTATTTGTTGAAATGAGCTAAAAAAAGAATTTTAATATTAATAAACCCTTAGAAAATCTTTTAAGTTTGTCCTTTTTGCAATTTTTTTTTCGGTTGTGAAGTATCAAATTATTTTATTTTGGTGTGTGTCAGTGCTAAGTATACTCATGAAAACAAAATTTCTGCCAGGAAAAAGTAATTCATTATTTCAAAGGAAATTAATAAAGTGTATTTACCAGCATATGTAATAAAGAAGCAAAGTCTTGAAAATTTCTTGGTCTTCAAAGATAGTTCTTGTTTAATATATTAGATTTGGCTTATTTTAGTGACCCGATATGTTTTGTATTCATAAAATAATTCATCAATATATCTTTCTTGCCACACATATCTAATACCTGTTTACTGCACCAGAAATGTTCCATTTCTGCTGTTTTACCAGAAAGCAGTTTTCTTTCAAGAGTAAAATTATGTGCTTGATTTCACTCTTTCTTTAATTGCAAACAATAATTTTTTGAACTGGTTTCATTCTGAAAGAATATTTTGTTAGTCTTAACTGTATGTTGCTGGAAGTATCTTGTTTAGAATGGTGAATTATATTAGAAGGAATGGGTTTAGAACTAAAGAGGCTGTATGGCTTTACAAGAAATTTCATCTGATGATTTGATGAAAGACTACTGCTGTGCTGTGTATCAACTGGTATAAAAAAATGCAAAATCCCACAAATTAAGTTAGCAAATTAGGTTCAGAGAGTTTTCCATTTAAGGAACTACTACCTTGTCCTGGTGAAAGATTTCTTTCTTGTGCAATAGTAACATGCCTATCACCAATAGGCAGTACTGTAAGCATATGTAAAAGTAAAATGTCAGTACAGTTTGTCTTCTGAGTTCTGTGCACCAAATTGCATAAGTTAATTGTTAATACTTAGCTAAAATCCCATAAATGTAATCTGTGGCATATTTTTAATCAGTGCTATTAAAAGATGTATTCTAATTGCTGATTACTTTTTAAAGTAAAATCATTTATGTGAGAAAATACTATACAAAAAAATTTAAATATATTTTGTAAACATGTTTTGAAATACAAATTGGTTTCCATGCGTTAGTAAACATTCCATGCATATTATTAAAGTTCAGGCATATTTAAAATTAGGGAAAAATCAGCTTCAGAATGGTCAAATATGCTGAGTGCTGTTAGTTTATTCTGGGTTTGGTTACTGGTGCTCCTAACTGTGTGGAGTTTTTCATTGTTTCCATGATGTGTAAGATGAATGCAAGACTATCTTAGAAATTCCTCTATTAAGACATTTTTAGGCGGATGTCCTTCACATACTGTACCCTGATCAATTAACTAACATAGCGACTAAACTTAAGGTTGGCATTG